CTCATGATTCTCCGTCTCGTCAACGTTGCAGGCTGTTCGGAAAAAAACTGGACTCGCCTTCCGCCCAACTCGCTGGATTTTGGAGTAGGGAGTAAAGCTTTTATGTTTCATCAAAACTGTCATCACTGTTTTTCCCTTCCAGGGAGTTCTTTGATCTTCATTGACCTTGTTGGACAATGAATTCTTGGAAGGTTCATCGAAGCTCAGGGATAAGGTGACCGTTGGCCAATGCCAAAGCTGACTCTTTTGCTTTGCAGCGTCCTGGCTCGCTCAGGGCAGCGGTGAAATGTTCATCCATGGTTGCTCATTGCTGCTTATGGAGGACGATGGGTGGTTAGAGCCTGCAAGATCCTCCCAAGCTGTTGGACCTTTTTGTGGGACACATTACTGCGCCTCAGAGTGGCTCGGGCCGCAACCTTGAAAGCATGAGCCACAGTGGCTACAGCGGGACCTCTAGGTCGATGGTGTTCCTGGTATGGTTTGACAGGATGAGTTGTAGACTTTGTTGAAGAAGATTGCAAGCCAACAGGCCAAAACTCGATGGCCAGAATGGCAATGATTGGGTCAACAGCCGAAAACGCGTAACGTACTTCCCGTAGGTGCTTACAATAGGCTGTCGAATGAAGGATATCCATGACATACATGAAGAATATGAGCATGTGAAGGTGATAAAATTTGGCTTCGTTAAAATTTTCTGGGTAGCTTTCGTGCCTTGAAAGCAAAGATAAAAGCAGATTCCAGCCAGCAAGCAAATGTATCCAATCAGGAACCCCAAGCGCCATCAATGATCCTTCACATTGCAAAATGACGAATATGACTCTCCATCCTCATGATTCTTAGCTGCCCTCGGAGGCGCTGTGTATAGCCATATGATGCATGTCTCGATTCTGCCACGAAGGTACTTACCAGAAAAAAACCAGATGAAACTGGAGGTTTAGAAGCCCCTCCACTTCCGCTGAAAAGCTCGTGGGGAATTTTGGCCTCAAATACACCAGCAGGATGCGGTTGGGTTATTTACCAAAATGCCAGGAGGCATGCAAAGCACAAAGCTGATGCCGAATGCTGGTTGCCCCAGCGGCATGTCCAATCCTCAGGCTCACCGATGAAGAAGAGGGAACTGGCAGATGCAACACAACAATGAGAAGACGCAGGAGATAGGAGAGCTCGCGGTTTGTTGCCTTAACGATAGGTGTTGTGCGGAATTTTTATGAACACGCTGAGGACAAAGGACGTCAGGAATATTCAAGATGGAGACATGGTGTGAGAGCAATCCCAATGGTTCTGTCCAAGACAGGAAACTCGATCTCCTTGGACAACGCCTAGGATGTGTGGTTTTCATTTGGACCCTAGTATTGCTGCAGCACATTTCTCACAAGCGCTTGCATCTGGAAAAGAGAAGAGTGTTATCATGGGGGAAAATACAGTTGTTTTCACTTACCTATGTGGCATGGTTCACTAATACAGAGACACAGTCCGCGTGAGGATTTTGGTGGACCCTGGATTATTAAAAAGCCCTTGCCCTGTTTGCTACATTAAAATTTCATCTTACAGCCCCGCCTTCCTTAACCACCACTTGTGTTTTGCTTTCCCTCATCTACATCATCGTGCCTGGGACCCCTTCCTTCACTATCTACTGTACCTGGACCCCAATTGCCCTACCATCCACCACACCTACAGCCCCCTTCCTTACCACCCACCCACCATGCCAAATGGGCTGCTTTGTCTTACCATCTACAGTGCCTGTAGCTCCCAGTGCCTTTCCACAGCCACACTGCAGCCCTTTTCCCTCACCCACCATGCCTAGGCCCATCTCCCCTCACACATTATGTGCCTGCAGCACCCATTATCAACCCACAGGCCTGCATCTGCCCCGTTCCCTTGACATAATACAATGTCTGTGCCTTCTTCCATTACCACCCCACCAAGCCTGCACCACCCTTCCTTCGCCATCTACCATGTCTGTGCCAATTCTTCCTTTACCACCCACCAATCTGGACCCCGCCCTTCCTTTCGCCATTTACCCTGTCTGTGCCCTTCTTCCATTACCACCACCCACCAAGCTGCACCTCCCTTCCTTCGCCATCTTACATGTCTGTGCCCTTCTTCCCCTATTAAACCATCCACCAAGCCGTGCACCACCCTTCCTTCGCCATCTACCTTTGTCTGTGCCCTTCTTCCATTACACCCACCAAGCCTGCACCACCCTTCCTTCGCCATCTACCATGTCTGTGCCCTTCTTCCATTACCACCCACCAAGCACTGCACCACCCTTCCTTCGCCATCTACCATGTCTGTGCCCTTCTTCCATTACCCACCCACAATAGCCTGCACCACCCTTCCTTCGCACGATCTACCATGTCTGTGCCATTCTTCCTTTACCACCACCAAGCATGCACCACTCTTCCTTCGCATATCTACATGTCTGTGCCATTCTTCCTTTACCACCCACCAATCCTGCAGCTCCCCTCAACCTCAACACTATACTGCACACACCCCTCCTTTTTTTTTCCGCCAAGCTGGACCACCCCTTTACCACCATGTCTGTACTCCTCCCTCTCCTCACCAAGATTCCCCTGCTCTCACTCCATATTTTCCATGTCCCCCAACTTTTGTCCCCCTTTGAGACACAGCAATGCCCCTCAATTTACCTTCCGCTGCTCTCACCACTCTACTGCAACTTCCCCCTCCATCACCCTTCCCATACCCACTGGTACTCTCGCTACCCCAACCCTGCTTGTTCTGGATGGGTACATCTTTTGCTACTAGCTAGTTAAAATAAAAATTGTTTAGTTAGGCTTGAGATAGGTGCAAGGTGCACCCTAAAGTGAGGTGGAAGGGCGCTACCACGACACCTTGGAAGCCAAATACCAGGCTTTTCAACTAGGATGTCCACGCGGCACACCGTTTATTAAACCCCGGCCACCAGGCCCAAGGCGGGTGTGTGAAGAATACAGGGGAGATCTCTTCCCAACGGCCATTGCTTTCCGAGTGCGGCGCCTGTTCTTTTTGGGCAGCTGGGCCTATATTAAGGTAGGAGGCTGGAGGCTACGGCTCCAATAACCCATACGTTTAGTCCGGCCCGGGACACCTTCATTGTAGATTTAGAACTGACTAAATGGCCCCATATACATGAAAATATCAGATGAATGTTCGTGGTTTTTTTTGCATGCCAGTTTTATATCGAAAATTAAGAGGTTACTAAGAGATTTACCACTTGCCGTTTCCGGCCGCTGTAAATTATAAACGAACTGGACAGTGGCAGTCCAGGGGCGGTTGCCGTTCATATAAACGGCACCCACCATTATTGTACTGTGTGCGTTCCCTGGGAGCGTGCATGCAGCACCACGATCGGTGCTTACTGTGTCCTCTGGACACAGTGGAACAGCGATCCGTCGTACGGGACCTCTGTGTGAGGGTCCTGATCATGTGATCACTGATTGGCCAATCAGTGATCACATGAAGAGTAGTAAGCAAGATGTCACTTTGACACCATTGCTTACTACGTGTGAAATCTGTGAATGATCACAGAGATCACACATGGTACAGGGCTATTTCACAATCACAGCCTGTGTACTATGTGACAAGCTGTGCGACCAATCACAGCTCACACAGCATATTTCTCAATGGCTGCAAGAATACAGCCAGAAGAGAAGGAGAAATGATTGCTTTTACACCCATAAAGGCTGTAAAAGCAATCAGTGTAAAAATAAATCTTCATCACCCCCCACAAGTAGTACAGTGTCACCATGGTGACACTGTACTGGTAGGGTGACAGTATGTAGAAAATAAAAACATAAATATATTATAAAAAAAATAAATAATAAATGTAAAATGTTTTTAAAAATTAATAATTTTTGGTTATAAAAACTAATTTGGGTTACTTTTTTTTTTTTTTTTACTAAAAAGATAACTCGAATACAATTTTGGGCCAAGATTTATGATGAAAATATTATTTATTTGCAAAATTTTATAAGAGAAAAAACACTTTTTTTCAAATTTTTGGACTTTTTCATTTATTATAGCAAAAAAAAATAAAATATCCCCAGCGCTGTGAATAAATACCACCAAAATAAAGCTTTATCTTTTTTAAAAAAAAAACGCAAAAAACATGCATATGGGCTACAGTGTTGCGGATGACCGCGCAAAATTGTCATTCAAAGTGTGATAGTGCTGAAAAATTAGCCTGGGCAGGAATGGGGGTGAAAGTGTCCGGACTGGAAGGGGGGGGAAGTGTCCGGACTGGACGGGGGGGGGAAGTGTCCGGACTGGAAGGGGGGGGAAAGTGTCCGGACTGGAAGGGGGGAAAGTGGAAGGGGGGAAAGTGTCCGGACTGGAAAGGGGAGAGAAAGTGTGTCCGGACTGGAAGGGGGTGAAGACATGACGGCTGGTACCGTCATTGGCCTCTTGAAAGCTGGATGAGGACCATGAAGTGTTGCTTGCCTAAGTACTTATACATAGGGATACAGATCTAGACGGCTCACTCACACGCACCAATGGGCCCAAACCCTGACCAGTGGACCCTTATACCGGCTGATTTCCCTCTACATGCCTATGAATTACTGCAAGGTCTTGTTCAACAGGAGTGCATGCATACAGGAGCTCTTTCAGCACCTGCATGGCCTTGGTTGGCTTCAGGCCCAAAAATTTCAGAGGCTTTCCTGTCTAGGGGTAGACAGCAGACAGTCGCAGGCTTGCTGCACGGTGCGACTGGATCAGAGCTGTGTGTGTACAGTCCTGTTCTACATATCTGCATCCTTTTCCTTTTTTAAAGTCATGGAGCGCTCAGCATGATGGGGGGGGGGGGGGGGAGGGGGGTGATGGTGCTGATGCCTGAACGTCCACTTATTGCTGAGTATCTCTAGACAAAACATTTGTTTTTTTATTTTAGGATGGGAGCAGAGAGCTTGTTTGAAAATCTGTTATGTCCCCCCCCCCCCGGACCCGACATTCACTTACATCCACTCTCACCTGGACCCGACATTCACTATATCGCGCACTCCCCGGACCCCGCATTCACTATATCCGCTCTCCCCAAGGACCCTGCATTTCACTATATCCGCTCTCCCCGGACCCTACATTCACTAAATCCGCTCTCCCCGGACCCCGCATTCACTATATCCGCTCTCTCCGGACCCCGCATTCACTATATCCGCTCTCCCCGGACCCCGCATTCACTATATCCGGTCTCACCGGACCCCTAGCATTCACTACATCGCTGCTTCCCCGGACCCCGCATTCACTATATCTGCTCTCCACGGACCCTGCATTCACTATATCCCCACTCCCCGGACCCCGCATTCACTATATCTCGCTCTCTCCGGTACCCCGCATTTGCACTTATATCATCCGCTCTCCAACGGACCCCGCGCATTCACTTATATCCGGTCTCCCCGGACCCCGCATTCACTACATCCGCTCTCCCCGGAGACCCCGCATTCATATATGCTGCTCTCTCCCGGACCCCGCATTCACTATATCTGCTCTCCTCGGACACCCCGCATTCACTATATCCGCTCTGCCCCGGGGACCCCGCATTCTCACTTATATCCGGTCTCCCCGGGACCCCCGCATTCACTATATCGGTCTCCCCGGGACCCCGCATTCACTATATATCCGCTCTCCCCGGACCCCGCATTCACTACATCCGCTCTCCCCGGACCCCGCCATTCACATATCTGTTCTCCCCGGACCCCGCATTCACTTATATCCACTCTCACTGGACCCGCATTCACTTATATCTGGTCTCCCCCGGATCCTGCATTCACTATATCCGGTCTCCCCGGACCCTGCATTCACTATATCCGCTCTCCCCGGACCCGCATTCACTATATCCGCTCTCCCGGTCCCCGCATTCACTATATCCGCTCTCCCCGGTCCCCGCATTCGCTATTTTCCGCTCTCCCCGGACCCCCCATTCACTATATCCGCTCTCCCAGACCCTGCATTCCCTATATCCGGTCTACCCCGGACCCTGCATTCACTATATCCGCTCTCCCCGGACCCCGCATTCACTATATCCGCTCTCCCCGGACCCCCGCATTCACTATATCCGCTCTCCCCGGACCCCGCATTCGCTATTTCCGCTCTCCCCGGACCCCCCATTCACTATATCCGCTCTCCCCGGACCCCGCATTCACTATATCGCTCTCCCAGACCCCGCATTCACTATATCCGGTCTCCCCGGACCCCGCATTCACTATATCTGCTCTCCCCGGACCCCGCATTCACTATATCTGCTCTCCCCGGACCCGCATTCACTATATCCGCTCTCCCGATCCCCGACCCCGCATTCACTATATCCGGTCTCCCTGGACCCTGCATTCACTATATCCGGTCTCCCCGGACCCCGCATTCACTATATCTGGTCTCCCCGGACCCCGCATTCACTATATCCACTCTCCCCAGACCCCGAATTCACTATATCCAGTCTCCCACAGTACACAGAACACGGAAATGCAATTATTTTTAGTAAATATAAACACTGCTAAATACCTTTTCTCATCAGCAGTATATAGCAGTCTTGTGACTTCAGCAGAGAGGCACTGGTTAAAGCTTGTAGGAGGAGTTTTCTTTCTGCTCTAGGAGGATGCAGAACACCTGACCTCTGTCTGGACAGTGCTGATTGGCCCAGTGCTGATCACTTGCACCATCCCAAGAAAAAAAAAACCCTCTAGCCATACACACCAAACTGAGCATGTGTCTATGGATTCAGTCTGTGCCAGGTGGTAATTTCAACAAGAGGAGGGGCAGAGAAGACAGGATCAAACAGCCTTTTTTTCACAAGCATTCCAATCCCAGGACCGTGTACATCTCCACAGTATCAGGCAGTGACATGCCGGGCTGTAAATGAAGTCAACTTCCAGTAGCTGGGTGTAGACGTGAACGCAGGGGCGGGCTGACCATTCGAGGGCCTGGGGTCAGTAGGGGGCCCTATAAGATGCCCCTGGTACCTTTCATAGACTTTTTTTGGGTGCAGTTTGAGTGTGGGCGAGGACACAGGGGCCCTATGATCCCCTATTACCTCATGAGTTGTCAGTCTGCCCCGTGTGAACGTGAAGCGTAAACTGTCACGTATTACTGGCGTTCTTCAGTTTGGATTCTTTTTGGTTGGGGACAACGAGCAGCACTATGGTGGGTATCAAATGCCGTCCACCGATCCTCTAGAACACGGGTGTCAAACTGATGGCCCTCCAGCTGTTGCCAAACTACAAGTCCCATGAGGCATTGCAAGATCGACAGTTACAAGCATGACTCCCAAAGGCAGAGGCATGATGGGACTTGTAGTTTTGCAACAGCTGGAGGGCCACCAGTTTGAGACCCCTGATCTAGAAGCCTCATGACACAGAATCAAACAATGGGAACAGTGAAAGGCTCCGTCCTGTTTTCGGGCCCCCCATCCATTTACCTGTCTCATCGGAGTACTCCCCATCGGGGCACGGCTCACACATGAAGCAGCAGGTCGGTTCACCCTCTATGATCCCTTTCCTGGTGCCTTCATGACAGATCCGGCTACAGTTGGAGAACGGGACCTGCCGGGGAGAGGTAAGAGGATCATCTGTAGTCGTTACATTGTTACTTTCCAATCAATTTGATGGTAAACAGAATGGGCTTCAGAATGTCATTTGAAAAAGGAATTTAAAATGTTAATGGATTATAATAGCCAAACTGTTGGCGCGATATAAATCCTGTATATTATTATTATTTATATATATATATATATATATATATATATATACATACATACATACATACATACATACATACATATACACACGCACACACACACTGCATCTTGAAATTCATTTGTTATATATTACAAAATATGTGAAAAAATATATTTTTTTAAAAAATACTGTATATTCTTCAGATTGTTTTTAACATATAAAAAAGTAATTTTAACATATATTTGTGAATGCATTCCAAAAATGTAGATTAAATGTATTTTTAAAAGACATACAGTATATTTGAAAATGTATTTATACAAAAATATTCATATATTTTGTAGTAAAAACGCATTTCAACATACAGTACACACACACATATATATATTTTTTTAAATACTACAATTTTGTCCGTATTCAATACATTTCAATATATATATATATATATATATATAAAATATATTGAATACGGACAAAATTGTAGTATTTAAAAAAATATATATATGTGTGTGTGTACTGTATGTTGTAATGCGTTTTTACTACAAAATATATGAATAAAAATGATGTTAATTTAAATATATTTACTAAAGGCATATATTTAAAAACGTATTTTCTTCAGATTTGTTTTAACATATAACAAAGTCATATTAACATATTATTTTTACACGTATTTGTAAATGCATTCCAAAAATGTAGATTAAATGTATTTTCAAAGACATATATTTGAAAATTGTTTTTTTTTAAAAATAATTTTCATATATTTTTTAATATATAAAAATCGCATTTCAACATACGGTGTGTGTGTGTATATATATATATATATACAGTTGCAAGAAAAAGTATGTGAACCCCTTGGGATTACGTGGAGTTTTGCATGAATTGGGCATAAAATGTGCTCTGAATGTCATCTAAGTCACCACAATAGAAGAACACAGTCTGCTGAACATAATACTACACAAACATTAGATGTTGCCATGGTTTAATTGCACATAACATGTAAACATTCACAGTGCAGGGAGGAAAAAGTATGTGAGGCCCTAGCTTAATGACTTCTCCCAGAGCTAATTGCAGCCAGGAGTGAGCCAACCTTGACTCCAATCAGTGTGATGATATTGGATGTGTTGCTGACAGCTGTCCTGCCCTTAAAAAACACACACCTGTTTTAGGTTTACTGGTTTCAAGAAGCACTGTCTGATGTGAACCATGCCTCGCAGAAAAGAGCTCTCAGAAGACCTACGATCAAGAATTGTTGACTTGCATGAAGCTGGAAAGGGTTACAAAAGTATCTCCAAAAGCCTTGATGTTCATGTGTCCACGGTAAGACAGACTGTCTACAAATGGAGAAAGTTTAGCACTCTTGATACTCTCCCTAGGCGCGGTCGTCGTCCTGTAAAAATGACTGCAAGAGCACAGCGCAGAATGCTGCATGAGGTAAAGAAGAATCCCAGAGTGTCAGCTAAAGACCTACAGAAATCTCTGGCACATGCTAACATTTTTGTTGACACATCTACAATAAGGAAAACATTAAACAAGAATGGAGTACATGGGAGGACACCACGGAGGAAGCCATTGTTGTCCAAAAAGAATATTGCAGCACGTTTGAAGTTTGCAAAAGAGCACCTGGATGTTCCACAGCACTACTGGCAGAATATACTGTGGGCAGATGAAACCAAGATGGAGTTGTTTGGGAAGAACACACAACACTATGTGTGGAGAAAAAAAAAGGCACAGCACACCAACATCAAAACCTCATCCCCACTGTAAAACATGGTGGAGGGAGCATCATGGTTTGGGGCTGCTTCGCTGCCTCAGGGCCTGGACGGATTGTTGTCATTGATGGGAAAATGAATTCCAGAGTTTATCAAGATATTTTGCAGGAAAACGTACGACCATCTGTCCGCCAACTGAAGCTCCACAGAGGATGGGTGATGCAACAGGACAATGACCCAAAGCATACAAGTAATTCAACAAAACAATGGCTGCAACAGCACAGAATACGCCTTCTGGAGTGGCCCAGTCAGAGTCCTGACCTCAACCCCATTGAAATGCTGTGGCATGACCTTAAGAGAGCGATTCACACCAAACATCCCAAGAATATTGCTACACTGAAACAGTTTTGTGAAGAGGAGTGGTCCAAAATGACTCCAGATCGTTGTGCAGGTCTGATCTGCAACTACAGGAAACGTTTGGTTGAGGTTATTGCTGCCAAAGGAGGGTCAACCAGTTATTAAGTCCAAAGGTTCACATACTTTTTCCTCCCTGCACTGTGAATGTTAACATGTTATGTGCAATTAAACCATGGCAACATCTAATGTTTATGTAGTATTATGTTCAGCAGACTGTGTTCTTCTATTGTTGTGACTTAGATGACGTTCAGAGCACATTTTATGCCCAATTCATGCAAAAACTGCACGTAATCGCAAGGGGTTCACATACTTTTTTCTTGCAACTGTATATATATATATGAAATATTACAATTTTGGCTGTATTCAATTTTGAAAATACACTTAATCTACATTTTTGGAATGCATTTACACAAATATATGTTAAAATGACTTTGTGATATGTTAAAACAAATCTGAATTTTTTTTTTTATTAAAAATATGTTTTTAAATATATGCCTTTAGAAAATATATTTAAATTTACTTTTTTTTTTTAAGAGTACATGTTACAATATATTGGCCTACGCTAATATATTTTAAATATATGTCACATTTATCATTTTTTTTTCTAAATATATTGGAAATATATTTCTCTTCCATGTGGGTGAGAGCACAGCTGTGATAGAGGAATGAGAAATGAAGCAGTCTACCTATTTGTACAAAGGTCTGCTGAGCGAAGCTCACATGCATTTGCACATCCCTCACAAACAATCCCTATGTTTTGTAGAATATGTTTATTTCCTGTGATCTTCATCTCCATCTAGTGACCATAATGAGGTATTTTCCTGACTGAGGTATTTCAGGACAATTCAGACATTCCGCTCCTACATGTAAAATTCTGAATTTTTTGCTGGAAAACTACTTTGAATCTGCAAACATTATATATATTTTTAAAGTGGAGTTCCAGTGAAAATGTAAAAAAATATAAGTCAGCAGCTACAAAAACTGTAGCTGCTCACTTTTAAAAAAATGTAGCGAGGAACCATAGGAAAACAAAGGTGTACAGTGGTACAAGGGAAGATAGGACCTGAATGAGTAACTGAAAAGGAGCACTGTTCTCAAGGACCTGGTGGTCTGTATGAGGTTCTGTATGAGGCATGAGGAGGGAGCC